ATAYTYAWWTTACTCTTCAAATTATGAAGATTTAAAAAAATAATATTTATATTGCTATTTTTAAATTATTTTTTAARTGTGTGATACATGAACAGTGGTATTTGATATTTCAAATTTGGAGTAAAATTTAAATACGTTTTATAAGTAGATAATATATTAATATATTAAAATTATAATAACACAGAATTAAATAATGGTTATAAGTTATACGGTTATAACGTGCAAGTAAACTCATTATTAATTTTTTCCCCAACTTTTTCGTATTGGCGTTTTTAATTTTTTTACTACAAAGAACCTAAAAAAAAAATTAATCCCGGGTATCAGAAAGTCTCAATCCGGCCCACGGTCTTAGAAGATCTTCTAAGACCGAGATCCGGCCCTACACTTTAATATTATCAATATTATGTGATATTATATCTTATCAGTTGATAATAACTATTATCACAGAACTATTATCATAGAGTAATATTATTAATTAATATATTAAATTATATTAAATTAAATTTATTAATATATTATTATTAATTACTCTATGACTATTACGAATCAGCTTATCATTTATCACTGCCTTTTAAAATGTTTTATCACTTTACGAAAAGACCGCGTTTATCATAGTATTGTGAGCCTTGTACACGATTTAAGATAAGCTTTGTAAAATATAAAGAGATACCTGATACCTATGAGTTATGAGTTTATGACTGTTAATTGTTATGAGTATTGAGTAATTACGATATAAAATAAATATATAATACTAAACTGGTTTTTTTTTGTCGATCTTATTACAATATTATGTTTAAGACGTTTAGGAATATTTTATTTCCAAAAACTATCACATTATGTACGAACTTCTAAACGATATTTTGCAATGCATTGAATTCGTGTCCAAAACCGTATTGTCTAATTTAGCAGAAATAGTAGAAACGTGGGSCCGATGTTCTCAATTGTACGCAGGATTTGTAGAAAAAATTAACGTGGCTTGGAGGTAAAGTATAAGTATGTTTTAATATTTAAATTTTAGAGATACTGTTAAAGTAACCACACAACAATTTTGATTAGTAGGTACAACAGGAAAATATATTATTCTGTTTTGCATGAATATGTAATTTTTTAAGTTTAATGTAGTATATTATATAATATATGCTGATCAATTACTGGACAATTACATTGTATAATATTATGCCCTAATGATGATATAAATATATTGTATGTTTGTATACCAGATACCTATTACCTATACAAAGAGGTTTAAAATACCAAACATTCAGACCAAATTAGATTAATATTCATTAACATAATATAGAATACATCTTGTCTAAATGCCAAATCAAACATTAGCTGGTAGGTGAGTTACTTACATACTGTTCTACAAAACAATTTGTGAATCTACAACTTTCTTTTCTCTGACACRAATAGTTTATTAGGTAGGTACTTATCGATTATCACGACTATCATAACAATGATAAAAAAAAACTATTACCTATGAAAACTAGGAATAATTAATAATTATATTAAAAATTAATAGTGAATAAATTAATAATTCACTCACGGAAGAAAATGCTTAGACATGCAATTTAAAATGCCTATAAATGGATTTTTGTTCTTTTGACACCACATGAATTCAACCAAAGTCTAGATGTTAACAAGTCTTACCTCTATGTTTCTTGTTGCGCCATTTAGAGAATCCCCTTAAATGTTCGATATTCTGTGTGTTAGCATCAGTTGAGGATCGACAAAATTGTAAGTGTGGTTAACAGTTAAACGGTTTAACCTAACCTAACCTGTAGTTTGTCTGTTTTATAACTACACCAATAATCAAAATAAATGGTTGTATCTTGGTTTATATTATCTTTTATTGTTTGTACAAGTGTAGATGCAGACCTATCTTTAACTACTTCAACTRAAAAACATTYTGTCRTTTCCTGACAAATGCCTCCAAAAATCAATTGTTGAGATAAAACTCTACCAACATTATTTTCACTTAATATGTCTCGTAAGATAGTMGCGATAACCATTAAGTACTATTTGTTATAAAAATTATATATCTGGTTTGTGCACTAAGATAAGTCTTGCACAAAATGCAGCCCTAGCTTGCGACTCATAATGTTCACATAATAAAACGCGACTAAAAATTCTCATTTGCTGACCTACCCACAATATACCAAATAAAAAAATATAATAATGTCTCAAATAATATAAATATKATGTTAATTATTTCAGGACTCCTTTGGATACAGAATTTTTAGAAGAGTTCCCTGACATTAGAACTAAAGTGGCTAAAAAACTTGAACGACTTGGAAATGAGCAACTTTCTGTCTTACGTTTGCTTATGTAAGTATTATCTATATTAGTTACATTATTGTAGTTTTTACAAAAKAAAATAATCAAGTTTGTATTGTAATTGTATTTTTTATTAGTGGCCGCATGTTTAACATAAATGAATGTCTAAAAATTAAATTGGATAAAATTAACAACAGACTAGAGCAAATATCATTTGAAGAACATAATGAGGTTAAACATTCAATCCGTGAACACGTCATGTGGATAGAAGACTGTTGGACATGYCTCCATTGCTTGTATCCTTTTCTAATTTGTACTCAGCCATAGCCCATAGACAAGTATTAGGATGTACAAAAACTATTRGATATTAATATATTATCAAGAGTATTACAAATACACAATATTGCTAAAATATCATCTCAATGTATATCAAAACAATAAAACATTTTTTTTTTATTATTTGTTAATACTATAAATAATTACAACGTTGGTAGTGAAGTATCATGAGAAACAAAAATTAAAAATAACATTTAATTTTTTTTTTTAATCAAATATAAGTTTCAAAAAAGTTCTTTTTAATGTGATTGTTATATTTGAATTAACTGTTGTTAACTTGAGTTATAAAATATTATAGTAAAACAAATATTTAATATTTGGTTGCAAGTTTGCAACTAAATACTATGATATTAACTTATACAATACTTATAAGCAGTGGTGTATTTGTGGGGAGGGTGCCGGGGGTTCCCCCCCCCCAAAGAATTATTGAATGCATCTGGCGACCTTATATTATTGATAAATTGGCAAAGAAAAAAAGAAAACTAGACTTTATAATATAATTAGTGATTTTTAATTTTAATTCTAATATAACTATAGTTAATATAAAAATAGGTTGAATTGAGTTTAAGTATTTTATACCTTCTAATTTATAAATTATTTCATTATGATATGACCCCCCCCCCCCCTAATCAAAAATTGTAAATACGCCACTGCTTATACGTAGGTTTTCATGTTAAATAATGAATAGTTTGACATTTCTAACATCAGATTTAATAATATATACTAAAACAAATTTTATCTTAAATTATAAGTAACAGCATAGATTATAATTTCCAAATATATAATGTTTGATAGAAATTGTTATTACATTGATGTTTTTCACTATTTCTATTGTTTGTTTTTACTGTTTTTAGTTTTGAATACTGTTCTGAATTTAATTGTATCTATACTTAATCTTGCAATTTTCATTATAAGTGTATATTATATTATATTTCATAGTGGAATTATGGTAACATWGTCGCAAATTTTAACCAAGGATATTTTTGCCCCATGATATGACGTCACTCCCATCCGTCAATAAGAATTTTCCATACAAAATGTAATATTAAGATTATTCCTAATATAACAATAAAAAAAAAATGTCTGATATTTAAAATATTATTGATATTTGATAAATAAATAATCAAAAAATAATTTTTTTTATGATTTAATCATGTTTTCATCATGACAACTTCATAATA